TATTGACACGGGTGACAGCGCGCCAATCCGCCAAAAATCCCTTTCGGCTGAGTCCCGCCGAAAAGGATCATGTCAAATCGGCCGTTGATGACATGCTAGCCTGCCGATATAATTTCCCCTTCCAACAGCCCGTGGGGCGCGCCGATCGTTTTGGTGAAAAAACACGACGGCTCACTGCGGTTTTGTGTCGACTTTCGGCGATTGAACAAAATTTCTGTGGCAGATGCATACCCGCTTCCTCGAATGGATGAGTCACTAGATGCCTTGGCGGGGGCGCGATTCTTTTCCACCCTGGAATTTACTTTCTGGATTCTGGCAACTTCCTCTGGATGACGAATCAAAGCCTAAGACTGCTTTCCGTACACCGCCAAGGCCTCTTCCAATTTAACCGCTTGCCGATGGGCTTACATTCTGCGCCAGCAACTTTTCAGCGGTTAATGGAACTGGTCTTGGCGGGCTTGCAATGGGATTCGTGTTTAATTTACTTGGACAATGTCATCGTCTTTAGCAAATCATTCGATGAACACCTCCAGAGGTTGCGTGCTGTTTTTCTCAAAATGCGGGCTGCCAAATTGAAATATAAACCGCAGAAGTGCCATTTGCTCCGCGAATTGGTGTGGTATTTGGGTCATATTGTTGGACGCTCGTGGATATCCACTGATCCCGCCAAAACGGAATGCGTCAGCTCCTGGCTGACTCCCACCTCGGTGGGAGAGGTCAGGAGTTTCATTGGGTTCGCGTCGTACTACCGACGATTTGTGGCTGACTTCGCTACGATCGCGAAACCATTGCACGCCTTGACGTCCAAGGGAGTCAGGTTTCATTGGGGGCCAGAGGAGGAGGCTGCTTTTCGCGCCCTCCGGAATGCCCTGGTGGGGGCTCCGCCGTTGAATTACCCAGATTTCTCACAACCCTTCTTGCTCGATACAGACGCAAGAAACACGGGCATTGGGGGCGTGCTGTCCCAGCTCATTGGTGGTGTAGAGCATGTGGTGGCTTACGGTAGTCGGGTACTGTCTCCGGCGGAACAACGGTACTGCGTTACCCGTCGGGAATTATTGGCAATTGTTTTTTTCATTCAGCAGTACCGCCCGTATCTGTACGGTCGACGTTTCACCGTCCGTACAGATCATGCGGCTCTGCAGTATGCCCTGCGGGTTCAACAACCATCGGGGCAAATGTCTCGATGGTTGGAGATTCTCCAAGACTACGACTTTGTCACCACATATCGTAAGGGCGTCCGCCACACGAACGCTGACGCCCTGTCGCGGTTGCCACCCACTTCGGAGTGCGCTTGCCTCTTGGGTTCGGGGCGTTGTAGGCCCCCGAACGTGACCACCGATTCGGTCCTCTTGGCCGCCGCTGATGTGCCTTCGGCTTCGGGTCCTATCGAGCAAGAAGGGAGGGATTCGTTGCTGGGGTTGTCGGTTGCGGAGTGGGGACGCCTCCAAATGGAGGACACCTCCCTGCTCGCTCTGCGCCGTCGCACCGGGGGGGTTGGTCAGAGGGTGGCGAACGTTGACTCGTGGGGGTTGTTCCAGGGGCTTTTAATGCACTGGGACGGAAAATCCCGCCACCAACGGCTCGTGGTGCCTGCAGCATTGAGGGGTAAGGTGGTATGGGCTGCGCATGAGCGGCTCCTGCACTTGGGGGTTCACAAGACCTTTGCCATGCTCCAGCTCGATTTCTTCTGGCCGGGCATGGCAAAGGACGTGGGGGATCTCCTGGGGTCGTGCACGCAATGCGCGCAGCGGAAGCCACCAGCGAGGGGGTCCAACCCTCCCGCTGCAGTCCATAAAGGTTTCTCGGGTTAACGAGCTCGTTGCTCTAGATATTCTCGGGCCATTTCCCGCTACACCCAGGGGAAATAGGTATTTATTGACAGGGGTCGAATACTTCACGAGATGGCCCATGGCCTGGCCCCTGGCCAACCAGTCGGCAGCAGCCATCGCGGAGGCCTTTGTCCAGGGCTATGTCCTCGACAAGGGTGCTCCGGAATGGCTGCTGAATGACCAGGGTAAGAATTTTTCGGGGAAACTCCTCCGCGAGGTGTGCGACCTCTTGGGTATGGAGAAAATTCGGACCTCCCCGTATCACCCACAAACTGACGGGATGGTGGAACGGCTGCATCGGACTATCACGTCCATGCTGTCCCAGCAGGTATCAGAATCCCAGACAGATTGGGACCTTCGCTTTGCCGGTGTGTTACAAGCCTACAGGATGGCTCCCCATGCGGCCACCGGATTTTCCCCTTTCTTTTTAATGTATGGCCGCGAGGCTAACCCCCCTGTGACGACCCAGCTGAAGCTCTCGGCGCCTCAGGCGAAGTCTACATTGTCCGAACACGTTAAATTTAACATCGGCAAATTATCTGAGGCGCGGGAAGCGGCCGTGCAAAATTCTGAACTCCGCCAGCAGGCGAACGAGAGGCTTAGGCTGGGGCAGGGTACATGTGTTCAAATGGAAACCGGGGGACAGGGCATGGTTGCACTGTCCCCAGGTGCCGCTGGCGACCTCGTCAAAGTTGGTACGGCCGTGGCGGGGGCCCGTGGAGGTCGTACAGGTCTTGCGGCCGCAATGTGTACGCGTCAAATGGGGGAGGCAGTCGGTGGTACGTGCACCCCTCAAGGTTGAAACCATTCATTGCGCCGGGCCGTGGTTCACACACACACACGCATGGCCAAACGTGTGAGGGGTCCGCCGACTCCCCGACGTCGCTGGTCTCGCATAACCTGACATTAACTGTTCCATCTCCAGGTGCAACAGGAGTGACGGGTCCACGACCGCCAACCCCTCCCGGGGGGGTCGGGGGTCACTCTGCAGCAAAGCCAGACTCTGTTGCACCCGGACCGTCAACAACCGCCACTGAGCGTGCCGGGACGAGAACGCGCGCCAAAACGCGCAGACTATTGTGAGGTCGGCCGTTGGGGGGCCCTTGCGGACGGGGGGGGGGGGAGGCGTCCGGAGCGCGTGTATATATATGTTGGTTTTGCGGAATGGGGTATTTATTCGGGGGGGTGCGTCGGGTTATTTTTTTTCTTCCTGTTTCCTGTTGTTGTTGTTGTTATGGTTTTCATTGTTCTTGTTAAAATCACGCGAGGCACACACGGTTTTGGGGAGGGGAGCACCTTTTTCTGATTTTGTTGCAGCCGGGGACGGCTGCAAGCTGTACAGGGGGGGGGGGGGTGATGTAGAGGTGTAATTGTGTTTGGGCGCGGATGGCTAACAAACACAAGGGGCGTGGTTAGGGCCATACACAGAGGAGGTGCTCACACCGACGTCCGCACCTGCATCCCCCACGGGCCCCTCCCGGGGGCCGAGTACTATAAAAGGTGGTGAGCCGGAGGGCTCGAGGTCGAGTATTAGCTTAAACCAGCGAAGACTGAAGACCAGCTAGAATAGGCCCCGGAGCTCCCCTGGCTCGCTGTCATTGTCAGGGCCGACCAGGGCAAGCCGGTGGCGTGGCCCCGAGAGCCCAGACTGACGTTCTTATAAGAGCCGGTCTGGAGACTCAGGGTGCCGGGATCCCAGCTTGACCAGGGCTGGGATAGGTAGCCTCCCCTAGCTCCGTAGTGGAGGACTCGGGCGTAGGTTAGCGGGGTTAGGATGTTGTGTCTCCCTGTTAGACGAGTGAAGGGGACGATACCCCTTTAAGTACTGTGTGTACCCGTTACTGTGCACGAGTTGGTGTTAATAAATAATTGTGCCTCCGACCCCGTCGTCCAAGCCTCCTAAATACTTACTACATATGGTGTAATTTGGTGTGTAGTGTGGTGTATAATGTAGTGTAGTGTATAGTGTAGTGTATAGTGTAGTGTATAGTGTAGTGTATAGTGTAGTGTAGTGCATAGTAGAGTAGTGTAGTATAGAACAGTGTAGTGTTCATTCGTGTCGTGTATAGTGTAGTATATTCTAGTGTATAGTGTAGTGTATAGTAGTATCCGGCAGGCAAGGCTGCGTTGGCTGAGTCATGTAGCCCGCATGCCCAGCCACCGCATGCCAAAACAGCGTTTGTTCGGCCTGATAGAGGGGGTTAAACGGGCGCAGCACGGGCTAGAGAAGAGATGGAGTGATGTGGTACAGGAGGACGTGGAGCTGAGTGGACTTGCCGATGACTGGTACCAGCGTTGTCAAGATCGGCCTCTGTGGAGGAGGCTCGTGAAGGACGCTACTAGGCAGTTGGAGGCAGTCGCCCTCCAACAACAACGGAGGATAGACGCTCACAACAACGAGCGGAGCGCCGGGTGGCTAAAGCACAGCAAGTTGGCACAGTAGGGGGCACAGGTGGTGCATCAGCCTGTCATCTCGGTCATCTCAATCAGTCGACCCGTGGCACCTGGGTCTGCCCCGTGACCTCCTGCCAGCGGGCGTTCGACACTTCACGTGGCCTCAACGTGCACATGGCCTGGCACAAGCGTCGTGGTGACGTCACCGCCACTTAGTGGCGAATGGCGGTTGTTGTTGTATAGTGTATAGTAGTGCAGTGTATAGTAGTGCAGTGTATAGTAGAGTATAGTGTGTAGTGTATAGTGTGTAGTGTATAGTGTGTAGTGTATCGTGTGTAGTGTATAGTGTGTAGTGTATAGTGTGTAGTGTATAGTGTGTAGTGTATAGTGTGTAGTGTATAGTGTAGTGTATAGTGTGTAGTGTATCGTGTGTAGTGTATAGTGTAGTGTATAGTGTGTAGTGTATCGTAGAGTAGTGTGGTGTACAGTGTCAATTTTAGTGTAGTGTCGTTATGTTTCTGGATGAGTATGGGTCTCTCTCTATGTATCTCTATTGGTCTTTATCATAGTTCTCTCTGAGTATGGGTCGCTGTGGGTCTCTATGGGTCTCTATGAGTACGGGTCTCTGTGGGTCTGTATGGGTCTCTGTGGGTCTGTATGGGTCTCTGTGAGTATGGGTCTCTGTGGGTCTGTATTGGTCTCCGTGGGCTTGTATGGTTCTGGTGAAACGACAAGTGAAGTGAGTTTATACTTCGCCGTTGTGAGATGTCTTACGCTGGGTAGAAGCCTGTTGGACATGGTCCTGTAATCCAGCGAGTTTGGGTCACTCAGGGCAGAGACGAAGACTTCATTGATTGTCAGTGTCACTGGGATCACCTTGACGTCTGTGGGAGACAAAGACAAAGATTACCCTTATAGCGTCTACCAGACTGTAGGGGCAAGTGCTGTCAGTCGTACTGAGTAGCATAACAGTCACACACACACAGACACACTCAAAGATAAACAAAGATCCCCCCGGGATAGCCTCTAACAGACTGTTGGGGCAAGTGCTGTTAGCGAGCACCTATGAAGGCCGTAACAGCGCATGAGGGCATGGGTAGCCAGCAACTACACTCAGTCACCTTTGTCTCCACAGTGGCGATGTTTACACATCGCACCAGGTATTCATTTGAGGCTGAGTCGACTTAGGGGAGGCCCACGACCGGTTCAGATAATCGTCACTGGTGGTGTTGGCCGTGAGCGGGAATCGAACTTTGGTCTCTTACTGGGTTCGTAGCGCTAACCACCGCCCCACGGATTCCCACTCACACTCACCAACTCATACAATCGCACATACAAATACTCATCCACACGTACAAACTCCACTTACTAACTCTGTAGAACAGGGGGAGATCATACAAACTCCATCCACTCACTCTGTAGAACAGGGGGAGATCATACAAACTCCACTCACTCACTCTGTAGAACAGTGGGAGATCATACAAACTGCACTCACTCACCCTGTAGAACAGGGGGAGATCATACAAACTCCACTCACTCACTCTGTAGAACAGGGGGAGATCATACAAACTCCACTCCACTCACTCACTCTGTAGAACAGGGGAAGATCATACAAACTACACTTTCTCACTCTGTAGAACAGGGGGAGATTATATAAACTCCACTCACTCACTTTGTAGAACAGGGGGAGATCATACAAACTTCACTCCACTCACTCTGTAGAACAGGGGGAGATCATACAAACTCGACTCACTCACTCTGTAGAACAGTGGGAGATCATACAAACTCCACGCACTCACTCTGTAGAACAGGGGAGATCATACAAACTTCACTCACTCACTCTGTAGCACAGTGTTAGATCATACAAACTCCACTCACTAACTCTGTAGAACAGGGGGAGATCATACAAACTCCATCCACTCACTCTGTAGAACAGGGGGAGATCATACAAACTCCACTCACTCACACTGTAGAACAGAGAGAGATCATACAAACTCCACTCACTCACTCTGTAGAACAGGGTGAGATCATACAAACTCCACTCACTCACTCTGTAGAACAGGGGGAGATCATACAAACTCCACTCACTCGCTCTGTAGAACAGGGTGAGATCATACAAACTCCACTCACTCACTCTGTAGAACAGGGGGAGATCATACAAACTCCACTCACTCACTCTGTAGAACAGAGAGAGATCATACAAACTCCACTCACTCACTCTGTAGAACAGGGTGAGATCATAAAAACTCCACTCACTCACTCTGTAGAACAGGGGGAGATCATACAAACTCCACTCACTCACTCTGTAGGACAGGGGGAGATCATACAAACTCCACTCCACTCCACTCACTCTGTAGAACAGGAGGAGATCTTACAAACACCACTCACTCTGTAGAACAGGGGGAGATCATACAAACTCCACTCACTCACTCTGCAAAACAGTTGGAGATAATTCAAACTCCACTCACTTGCTCACTCTGTAGACACATGGGTGAGATCACACAAACTCCAGATTGACAAGAGGCATTCCGAGTCGGGAATGGACCCAAATGCCCCCCTTTCGCTGCCTGCGAGCGCCACCGCAAGTGCCACCTCCCTCGCTCACCTTGCGGCGCGTAGGGGCTGCTCGTTCGATTCGAACCGCCGGTTACCATCGTTGTGCTCAGGACGGTAGCCACAGTGGTGTTCAGGACCACTGCAGAGGTCGCCGTGGTGTTCAGGGTTGTCTCAGAGGTCGCAGTGGCGTTCAGGGTCGTGTCAAAGGTCACAGTAGAGTTCATGGTGGTCTCAGAGGTCGCAGTGGCATTCAGGGTCGTGTCAAAGGTCACAGTAGAGTTCAGGGTGGTCTCAGAGGTCGCAGTAGCGTTCAGGGTCATCTCAGAGGTCACAGTAGCGTTCAATGTCGTCTCATCGGTGGCCGTAGCATTCACGACCGCCACAGCGACCTCCGTAGCGTTCACGACGGTAGTGGCATTGGTGGGGTTGGCGGTCATGCACGATGGTAGAGGCTCCGGGCGAGACACGCACTGCACCCCATCGGGCGGGAACCCCTTGATGCACGTGCAGGTAGGGGCAGAGCCAGGCGAGGGGGAGGGGCTAGACGCGGTGACGTCATCGCACGCTCCCACCTGGCGGCAGGCAGCGGCGCTCCACAGCAAGCCGAGGCCGCAGTGGCAACGCATCTGAGGACCGTCCAACCCGCACCCTGGCGAGAGATTGGTGGGGCATGGGAAGGGGGTGGAGGAGGGGAGTGGGGGGATGGGAGGGAGAAGAGGGGGGGTGGGACGAGGTGATGACGAGGTGATGACGAGAGGAAGAAGGAGGCGGTAACATTACGGTGGCGGTCGCGGGCCGTGACTGTTGCATTGTGGGGGCATTGTCTTGTCCGGCTGATACGGGGGACCACCTCTACTTGCGAACGTTCAACTTACGAACTTTCAGAGACACCAAGAAACTGTGTTCCCGTACGTCCAGTTGCCGCTGTTCGGAACGAGAGACGTAGGTTCAACGTGAAGAACCAGTGGCATCTACATCTGCAGAACGTGAAGAACCAGCAGCATCTACATTTTCAGAAAGTGAAGAACCAGTGGCATCTACATCTGCAGAACGTGAACAACCGAAGGAATCTACATCTCCAGAACGTGAACAACCAATGGCATCTACATCTGCAGAACGTGAAGAACAAGTGGCATCTACATCTACAGAACGCGAAGAACCAGTGGCATCTACATCTGCAGAACTCTGAAGAACCAGTGGCATCTACATCTGCAGAACGTGAAGAACCAGTGGCATCTACATCTACAGAACGTGAAGAACCAGTGGCATCTACATCTATAGAAGATGAAGAACCAGTGGCATTTACATCTACAGAAGATGAAGAACCAGTGGCATCTACATCTGCAGAACGTGAAGAACCAGTGGCATCTACATCTGCAGAACGTGAAGAACCAGTGGCATCTACATCTGCATAACATGAAGAACCAGTGGCATCTCCATCTGCAGAACGTGAAGAACCAGTGGAATCTACATCTGCAGAACGTGAAGAACCAGTGGCTTCTAAATCTGCAGAACGTGAAGAACCAGTGGCATCTACATCTGCATAACATGAAGAACCAGTGGCATCTCCATCTGCAGAACGTGAAGAACCAGTGGCATCTACATCTGCAGAACGTGAAGAACCAGTGGCTTCTAAATCTGCAGAACGTGAACAACCAGTGGCATCTACATCTGCAGAACTCTGAAGAACCAGTGGCATCTACATCTGCAGAACGTGAAGAACCAACATCATCTACATTTTCAGAACGTGAAGAACCAGTGGCATCTACATCTGCAGAACGTGAACAACCAATGGCAACTACATCTGCAGAACGTGAATAACCAATGGCATCTACATCTGCAGCACGTGAAGAACAAGTGGCATCTACATCTACAGAACTCTGAAGAACCAGTGGCTTCTACATCTGCAGAACTCTGAAGAACCAGTGGCAAATACATCTGCAGAACGTGAAGAACCAGTGGCATCTACATCTACAGAACGTGAAGAGCCAGTGGCATATACATCTGTAGAACGTGAAGAACCAGTTGCATCTACATCTACAGAAGATGAAGAACCAGTGGCATTTACATCTACAGAAGATGAAGAACCAGTGGCATCTATATCTGTAGAATGTGAAGAACCAGTGGAATCTACATCTGCAGAACGTAAAGAACCAGTGACATCTACATCTGCAGAACGTGAAGAACCAGTGGCATCTACATCTGCAGAACGTGAAGAACCAGTGGTATCTACATCTGCAGAACTTGAAGAACCAGTGGCATCTACATCTGCAGAACGTGAAAAACCAGTGGCATCTACATCTGCAGAACGTGAAGAAGCAGTGGTATCTACATCTGCAGAACGTGAAGAACAATTGGCATCTACATCTGCATAACATGAAGAACCAGTGGCATTTACATCTGCAGAACGTGAAGAACCAGTGGCATCTACATCTGCAGAACGTGAAGAACCAGTGGCTTCTACATCTGCAGAATGTGAACAACCAGTGGAATCTACATCTGCAGAACGCTGAAGAACCAGTGGCATCTACATCTGCAGAACGTGAACAACCAGTGGCATCTACATCTGCAGAACGTGAAGAACCAGTGGCATCTACATCTGCATAACATGAAGAACCAGTGGCATCTACATCTGCAGAACGTGAAGAATCAGTGGCATCTACATCTGCAGAACGTGAAGAACCAGTAGCATCTACATCTGCAGAACGTGAAGTACCGGTGGCATCTACATGTGCAGAAAGTGAAAAACTAGTGGCATCTACATCTGCAGAACGTGAACAACCAGTGGCATCTACATCTGCAGAACTATAAATAACCAGTGGCATCTACATCTGCAGAACGTGAAGAACCAGCAGCATCTACATCTGCAGAACGTGATCAACCAATGGCATCTACATCTGCAGAACGTGAACAACCAATGGCATCTACATCTGCAGAACGTGAAGAACAAGTGGCATCTACATCTACAGAACTCTGAAGAACCAGTGGCATCTACATCTGCAGAACTCTGAAGAACCAGTGGCATCTACATCTGCAGAACGTGAAGAACCAGTGGCATCTACATCTACAGGACATGAAGAACCAGTGGCATCTACATCTGTAGAACGTGAAGAACCAGTGGCATCTACATCTACAGAAGATGAAGAACCAGTGGCATTTACATCTACAGAAGATGAAGAACCAGTGGCATCTACATCTGTAGAACGTGAAGAACCAGTGGCATCTACATCTGCAGAACGTGAAGAACCAGTGGCATCTACATCTGCAGAACGTGAAGTACCGGTGGCATCTACATCTGCAGAACGTGAAGAACCAGTGGAATCTACATCTGCAGAACGTGAAGAACCAGTGGCTTCTACATCTGCAGAATGTGAACAACCAGTGGAATCTACATCTGCAGAACGCTGAAGAACCAGTGGCATCTACATCTGCAGAACGTGAACAACCAGTGGCATCTACATCTGCAGAACGTGAAGAACCAGTGGCATCTACATCTGCATAACATGAAGAACCAGTGGCATCTACATCTGCAGAACGTGAAGAATCAGTGGCATCTACATCTGCAGAACGTGAAGAACCAGTAGCATCTACATCTGCAGAACGTGAAGAACCGGTGGCATCTACATGTGCAGAAAGTGAAAAACTAGTGGCATCTACATCTGCAGAACGTGAACAACCAGTGGCATCTACATCTGCAGAACTATGAAGAACCAGTGGCATCTACATCTGCAGAACGTGAAGAACCAGCAGCGTCTACATTTTCAGAACGTCAAGAACCAGTGGCATCTACATCTGCAGAACGTGATCAACCAATGGCATCTACATCTGCAGAACGTGAACAACCAATGGCATCTACATCTGCAGAACGTGAAGAACAAGTGGCATCTACATCTACAGAACTCTGAAGAACCAGTGGCATCTACATCTGCAGAACTCTGAAGAACCAGTGGCATCTACATCTGCAGAACGTGAAGAACCAGTGGCATCTACATCTACAGGACATGAAGAACCAGTGGCATCTACATCTGTAGACGTGAAGAACCAGTGGCATCTACATCTACAGAAGATGAAGAACCAGTGGCATTTATATCAACAGAAGATGAAGAACCAGTGGCATCTACATCTGTAGAACGTGAAGAACCAGTGGCATCTACATCTGCAGAACGTGAAGAACCAGTGGCATCTACATCTGCAGAACGTGAAGTACCAGTGGCATCTACATCTGCAGAACGTTAAGAACCAGTGGCATCTACATCTGCAGAACGTGAAGAACCAGTGGCATCTACATCTGCATAACATGAAGAACCAGTGGAATCTACATCTGCAGAACGTGAAGAACCAGTGGGCATCTACATCTGCAGAACGTGAAGAACCAGTGGCATCTACATCTGCAGAACGTGAAAGAACCAGTGGCATCTACATCTGCATAACAGGAAGAATCAGTGGCATCTACATCTGCAGAACGTGAAGAACCAGTGGCATCTACATCTGCAGAACGTGAAGAACCAGTGGCATCTACATCTGCAGAACGTGAAGAACCAGTGGCATCTACATCTGCAGAACATGAAGAATCAGTGGCATCTACATCTGCAGAACGTGAAGAACCAGTGGCATCTACATCTGCAGAACGTGAAGAACCAGTGGCATCTACATCTGCAGAACGTGAAGAACCAGTAGCATCTACATCTGCAGAACATGAAGAACCAGTGGCATCTACATCTGCAGAACGTGAAGAACCAGTGGCATCTACATCTGCAGAACGTGAAGAACCAGTAGCATCTACATCTGCAGAACGTGAAGAACCAGTGGCATCTACATCTGCAGAACGTGACAAACTAGTGGCATCTATCTGCAGAACGTGAAGAACCAGTGGCATCTACATCTGCATAACATGAAGAACCAGTGGCATCTACATCTGCAGAACGTGAAGAACCAGTGGCATCTACATCTGCAGAACGTGAAGAACCAGTGGCTTCTACATCTGCAGAACGTGAAGAACCAGTGGCATCTACATCTGCAGAACGTGAAGAACCAGTAGCATCTACATCTGCAGAACTTGAAGAACCGGTGGCATCTACATCTGCAGAAAGTGAAAAACTAGTGGCATCTACATCTGCAGAACGTGAACAACCAGTGGCATCTACATTTGCAGAACGTGAACAACCAATGACATCTACATCTGCAGAACGTGAAGAACAAGTGGCATCTACATCTACAGAACTCTGAATAACCAGTGGCATCTACATCTACAGAACGTGAAGAACCAGTGGCATCTACATCTGTAGAACGTGAAGAACCAGTGGCATCTACATCTACAGAAGATGAAGAACCAGTGGCATTTACATCTACAGAAGATGAAGAACCAGTGGCATCTACATCTGTAGAACGTGAAGAACCAGTGGCATCTACATCTGCAGAACGTGAAAAACCAGTGGCATCTACATCTGCAGAACGTGAAGTACCAGTGGCATCGACATCTGCAGAACGTGAAGAACCAGTTGCATCTACATCTGCAGAAGGTGAAGAACCAGTGGCATCTACATCTGCATAACATGAAGAACCAGTGGCATCTACATCTGCATAACATGAAGAACCAGTGGCATCTACATCTGCAGAACGTGAAGAACCAGTGGCATCTACATCTGCAGA